AATTCTCCAACAATTTAAATTTTCATACTTTCATTGTGATTGTCCAATTCATAAGTTTATTTCATATAAAACTGCTGTTAGTTTTATAAGACAATGTTTGATTTAGTTAAAAATAAGATTTTTAGTAGATTTTAATAAAAATAATAATAAAATGTATAGTTGAAAAGTTAATACGAATTACGGTTCTTATCATGCCTTAGATAAAGAACGGCATATCTAATATGCACGTGAAAGAGCTCATATTTTCTTCTTCTATTTGACCGCTTAAATTTCGTTAGATGCAATTATACAAAATTTCCAAAAAAAGAGGACACATGTTTGTAGTTTAATCGGTAATCTCCATTATGCTAATGGGTGTAATTTTTTATTTTTTTTAATAACCATGGATGTACGGGCCAGCTTACGCGCCCCTCGATTAATCCCACGAGATCCTGAAGTTTACGGTCGGGTACTCACTTCTTTGATCCTGAAGGGATTCGAACTGGTGACCATTGGGGAGCAAATCCAAAGTCTGACCAATTGAGAAACCCCTCAAAGTTTATGCTAATGGTAATGGGTGTAATGCATAATTAAATGTTCAATAATTGCAATATAATGTTAAATTATCAAAACCAAAGATTTACTTATTTTGTACAAATTTCATGGAAGATATCGTATCAGAAATTCATTTTTACAAAAAAAAAAAAAAAAATTTGTCATGTGAAAAATACAATAATCTTGATCGAAGTGGTTAAAAGGAAAAAAAAAGTGTCTAGATTCATAAGTTAATTAATTGTTAATAATAAATAAATTACAATAGACAAGGGTCTGTATATGTGGTCCTGCCACATCGTGATAGATTCCAACACGTTCTTAATGATTTTATTGAATTTATTTGGTCCAAATTTATAAATAATTAAATAGCAAACAGTAAACAATTTATGTTTTAATAAAACTTGAATTTAAAATACAAATCTCTATTATTATCAATTAAACTCGACTGAAAGATCTGAAACTTAGTTGTGAGTTCCCTTGCTACATGCTTTATTATAGAGGGAAATAAATGTTGCCGTCTTGTTTTTTAAAGTTTGATGCACTTAAATTTATAATTTTGTTTTGGTATTTTAACTTATAACCTTCAATTTTGAATGACTTAGCTAATATTTCCATTGCGTTCAAATAGGTTTTCCCCAACAATTATTGATGACTTGCGTGCTAAGAAATTTTAAAAACTTCCATCTAAGATTGATTTAAGCCCCCTATTTGTCAACCGGGGGCTTAAAAACCAGCGGTGAGCTATAGGTGTTTTGTGTTGGAGCCATGTAGGATAGAAAGTCCCCGAATGAAATGCAGGTAACACAATTTTAGAACATTCTCGACGTGGCTCGCTAAAACTCCCTTTCTAAATCTCATCTTCTTTATAGTATACTATTATTGAATTATATATGTTTATATTATTTATAATTGTTGTGATAATTATAGCTCATTTACACACAAATCACCCATTTTTCCAACAAAGTTCTGAGTTTATGTGCATAACATTTTATTATGTAAATATATTGTTAAAAATGAGTATGTAAAAAATGAGTTTTCAACTAATAGTTGTCAAAACCCTGCATGAGTTGAATAGCCAAAACCTCGCATGAGTTGGGTTGGTAGCGAGCTTGCTCGATTCACTTGCCAAGGAGCAAGTTGGTTGGATGAGCCGAACCAATATTTTTAGAAATGAGCCAACGCCGCTCAGTTCGTCCCTTATGAAGTGCAAGCTGGCTAGCATGGCTAGGCCGGCGATCAATGAATAGAGCATTCATTTAACATCCACACATGTATATTAAGTTAATGTTTGGTAGATATTTTTTAAAATTTATTTTTTTTAAATTCATTTTCAATTATGCACTCTTTCGATAATAATATTTTGAATGTGCACCTACAACTTTTATTTTTATTTTTTAACGACAAATTTTTCAAAAAATCACTTTTAAAAAAAATCTATTTTTGACCCAAAAAAATATCTAAATCTGACCTACCCCAACCATAGTCCATCATAAATTATGTTTTTATTGCACGTTTCGTTTTAGTTGGGTCGGTTGGTAATGTTACAATATACATTGGGACCATTTGGCCGACTCTCTGCTANNGGACCATTTGGCCGACTCTCTGCTAAACTAGTGACAAGTGCATGAGATATGCACATTATTTCGAATGAAATACCAATATTGTCCTTCTATATGCAAAGGCTCCTATAAAATAATTTTACAAACAAATAATTTTAGTGACAAAATAAGAAGAATATCTAAAATGCAACATGAATTACTGAATTAGATATTCAAATTAGAATAACGCCACTTGTACATAATGTAGTTATATAACGATTTACATACAAATGACGTGTCAAAAGAGAGAAGGAAGTTTTTTTTTTTATTTGATTGAAAAAATTCTAACTCAATCATTCTTTTCAACATCATGTGTATGTACATCATTATATAAATCATTGTATACATGTAACACAATCATTGCAATAATATATTGTTCAGATATTCTACTTGTAAAATATGAGAATGGTATCAGGATGAACATTCATTAAAGCCTTGTATGAGAGAGATTAAAATCGGATTAAAATTGAAAATATAGCCGTTATTGTTGACTTTTATTAGACGAGTGGAACCCAATAACGACCATATTTTTAATTTTAAT